CCTAATAGAGCATTCATCAAACAAAACATCTTCAATCATCAAGCAGCACTTAACTGCAACTTGGAAGATGACTTTTGGAGTATGTTAGTCAACTTTTTGCCTGAAAACGGGGCCTTCGATGGTTCTCTGATGAATTTTCGCAACTCTTTTAGGACCTCATGATCTTCCATTCTAGAGCCCAAGCAATCCACTATAGTTTGAACCATTTTTACATCGAGAGATATGTCATCACCTGCCATCTGATGGAGTAAGTCAACTACTTCTCCCATTTCACCCTTCTCTCTGAAACCATTAAGTAGAGCATGATATACAACAACATCTGGAGACAGACCACAATTAATCATATCCTCAAATAGCATCTTAGCTTCTTCCAACTTCCCTGACTTTACAAATCTATTTATTATTGTAGTATATGTAATACAGTCGGGGCTTAAACCTCTCTGAAACATATCCGAAAGCAATAGTTTTGCAAATTCAAAATCCCCATCTCTACCAGCAACATCAATTAAGGTGTTAAAAGATATCACATCAGGTGTAAACTTCTCACTCATTTCACTGAACAAACTCATCATTCTCTCCTTCATACCTCCCTTAGACATAGATGCCATCAATGTATTATAATCAAGCAAACAAGGAGAAAGTCCATGATCTCCCATCTCATGCAGAAGCCTCTCAGCCTCATCAACTTTTCCCAATTTGCATAGCTCATTTATCATTATGCTATATGTAAACGAGTTTGGCTTCAATCCCTTACCATTCATCTCATTTTTTAGCTCCATTGCTGCATTAAACTTGCAAATCTTGATCAGTCCACCAATCAACACATTATAAGTCATCAAATTGCAATCATACCCTCTTTCTACCATCATCTTCTGAAGCTCCAACGCCCTAGAAACCCCTCCTCTCTTACACAACCAATGGACAATTGTGTTGAAAGTCAAAATATCAGGCTCAAGGCCATGCTTCCCCTCAAGCATTTCATCAAGCATTTTGATGGCCTCCCTCATCTTGTTCGCCTCACAAAAACCTAGAATCAAAGTGTTGTATGTCACAACATCTGGTAAAACACCCTTATCACTCATACTCGCCATGAATGCAAGAGCATCATCAATCATTCCTTCCTTGCATAAATGATTAATCAACACATTATAGGTCACAGTGCTTGGTTCCACTCCCTTCTCCACCATCAGACCAAACATTTTCATGGCTTCCTTCTCCTTCCCCTCCTTAAAAAGCCCATCGATTAATCCAGTATATGTAAAAACCTCAGGCTTTATGCCTTGCTCCACCATTTTATTCAGCATTTCCTTAACTCCAACCCACCTCCCTTCCTTTTGAAGAGCATTAATCAAACAAGTAAAAGTAACCACATTTGGTGAAATACCTTTCTCATTCATCTCTTTGAAGAGTTCCAACCCTCTATCAACTCTACCCGCATAACAAAAACCGCTAATCAGAGCACTATACACCACCACATCTGCAGCCACACCTCTACTCCTCATTTCAGTCAACAATTCACACGCAAAATCCACTTTCCCATTCTTACAGAAACCATCAATTAAAATAGTGTAACTCACCAAATTCGGCTGGAGGTCTCGTTCATCCATGTGCTTCCACAGCTCTATCGCCCTCTCCATCTTCTTCTCCTTGATTAACCCATGGATGAGAGTATTGTAAGTGATAACATCAGGAGGGATCCGCTGGGGAAGAAACTGTTGAAAGACCTCAACGGCTTCATCAAGCTGGCGGCTTTGGCACAGGGCTTTGATAAGGAGATTAAGAACATGAGTGCCGACAGGATGGCCGGATTTGAGGATGAGACCGGCGGTGGAGAAAGAGAGTTTAGGGTTTTTGGTGAGAGAGAAGCAGTAAATGAGAGATGTGAGAGTTGGGTAGAGCGGTGGGATTCCTTCGCGGATGAAATCCTGGTAAACCGATATGGCGGCAGCGGGGTCGCCAGCTTTGATAAGGGAATGAACGCGAGAGTTGCAGGAGGAGGCTAAGGGGTTAACGGCCGGCGCAATTGGAGGCTGAGAATTGGGGGTTTTGGCACAGGAGAAGCACGAGATGAGAGAGGTTACAGCGCGGGTAGAAGAAGCAGGGGCCTTTAGCTCCGCCATGAGGATTTTGGAGTGGCTGTATGAATTGAAAGAGGGCAAATTTTGCGAGCGAGATCACAAATCATCCGAAATTTGTTATTTACAAATCCACCACAAA